CTTCCTCCAGTGAAGCTCCACAATCTGATCCAAAGCTAAAAACCTTTTTCCTTTTTTGCCTCCAAAATCAAAAACAAACATTCACACTCTGTTGATATTAACATGCAGAAAGAGCGGGGGACACACATTAACAACTGTGTGGAAGATGTTTGTTTTAGTACTTCGTCCGGTCTAAATACTGAAATAAATCAAACTGAGCTCTGCATCTAACTAAAACATCAGTGACTGTGTGGTTTTGTGGAGGTTCATGCGAGACACGGTGTAGATGTTAATTTTGGACGTATTTTCCTAACTATTAAAATAAATAGCCCAAAGCAGCCTCTGTGTTAGTTTGTGAACATGAGCTAGTGACGGAGCATTACCAAAGCCGATCTAACCCTACATGTAACGGGATGCCCACCTGTGCACATGTCTTCATTGTAACCAGTGATGTAACAGATGAGTTCAGCCAGTTCTTTAGTTACCACATTCCCTCCTTCCTATTGGTTGTTGTGTCGCCTGATCCTGACTTCTCCTGCTGTGTCCAATACTACGTTTGTTTTTATGTGTGTTATTTTGACTGCAGTGGCAGATTGTCGTTTACATGTTTGTTTTTAGAAAATAAAATTATTTAGACAGAAAGATAAGGGGAAATTCTGTTTCTCCTCAGACAGACCAGCTAAACTTTTTTTACTATCATGAATCAATAATCATTAATATTACTTTTAATTTAGCTGTTTGTGTCTACCTCTGATGCTTTGAGAAAATGTAACTGGGGTTTTGACCTTTTTCCACACTCCACTGGTGTTTTTGTGTGATTTAAGTTTGAAATCTGAGCGTTTGAATGTGTAATTTTCTTTTCTGTCCACAGGGGGCAGCATAACCACAAGATTCAAGATGAACCACGCCAGTGTTTGTCCTTCTCCACTCTCCATTACAGCTGATTGAATGACTACTCTCCTGTGCAGCCTTTGGAAAGTAACCACGCGCAATGTTTTATCTCTAAGTAAAGGTTTAGTGAAGTTCACACAGTCCTTTGAAGTGAATAGATCTTTTAAAGAGTATTCCCCGTTTAGCAAAACTGTTAAAAACACATGGCTGTAGCAGCGCCGTCCCTCATCACCATGAGAACGGTTTAATTTGACTCCTCAAAAAAATCATATCACGATGCTGCTGCAGTAAATCATCACTAGAGCCTCAAAACAGCTGAAAATAGTTACAAAAATGGAACAATTTCATCCTGTCTGAATAAGATTTTCTGATAGACCTTAAAAGCTATTTTTTTGGATGTTATTTGCCTTTAGATGCTTCAATAATGTAGAGATCTGGGCTCAGGGGAGGCCAGTCCATGACCGATAGAGTTTATTATGTTGTTCTATCCAGGATTGCTTTGACTGCAGTGGGATCACTGTCATGCTTAAAACTGAAGCTGTTGCCAATCAGAAGCTTAGTAGCAGGACCAGGTGGTACTGAATGGTGGATAAAAATCTGATGGTACGTTTCTGTGTTATAATTCTATCACTTTTGAAAAGATCTCCAAACCACCACGGAGCTTCCATGTTTTACGGATGGCTGTAGACACTCACTGTTCTACCTCTGACTCGTTACCTCTGATCAGTCCAGCTCCGTGTAATTTGGCATACACCCCAGGCTTTTTTCTCAGTTTCCCTTCCTCAGGAATAGCTTCATCTCGGCCACACTTCCACTGCTTTGAAAAGCAGTAGATGGATAAATGCAGAGCCAGGTTCATCTGTTAGATCCTGTGTCAGGTCTCTGTTGTATTTTTTCCCTCTATTTTTAAGAAGATGATATTTAGATCCCGTGCATCTGCAGTAAACAAATGTTAAAGCTTGCCACATCTACTATTTGAACTTTTCTAAGGTCACACTGCACATTATGCTGAAAAATGCCAAGTTTTTAGCTCACAACTTTTCAAGAATCACCTTGTTGGTGCAAAAGGAAATTTTGTAATGTTTGGCAAACTGTTATTTTTTGGGCATTTTATAGATTCATTAAAAGAAATATAAAGAAAGGGAACAATTATGTATTTTAGTGACAGGCTACTAGTAACAAAGTGTCTAAAGACACAATTTAAAATGGGTTCTTAGCTTGTCATGTGCACACACTGGTTTATCTCTTGAGTTTTTTTTATTTATTTATTGAATTTTATTGTTTTATTTATATTTTGATATTGCTAGGGATGATGCAATGATCGGGGACCATTCTTAATTTCGTTGTTCTCGTGACAATGACAATAAAGTTTCTGATTCTGAGTTGATGGTTTTTTATGCTTGAATGATTCATAGGTCAGTAACAAACAAAAATCTTTTTTTGAAAATGTTTAAAGAAAACTTTGAAAAACCTTCAGAAAGTCTGGAGAAGGAGTCAGAAGTCACCGGAAGCAAATAACGAGAAATGAAAATGGCTTTTGCATCTTTTTTTTTACACATACACACGCGTCTCGAGAAAAAAAAAAACCATAGAACAAAACCTCTGAGATATCGCTCTGCACATTTCACTCTCATCACATATCCTCACAAATTTTGGAGGTTTGAGTTAACTGTAAAATTTCAGAGCCTTTCCTTTGACGTTTAGGTAAGTGGGCTGCTTTTTCACGTGATGCTTCCCCACTTCACTGCCTGTTATTGTATGGCTACTACACCATATTTGAAAACTAGGCACCAAAGTTAAAACTACATTCTGAAACTGTAATACTTTTAAACTTCAAACAGCTATTGGACTGAATTGGAGGTTTTTGTGTGTCTCTGTTTTCTTCCGCATCTTAAAGGGAAGTACAGATTCAGTTGAGCAGCCTCTCTTCAGTGAAGCTGAAAAATCAGATTCAAAGCTCTGAAGCCTTTGTTTTTTAAAAGATACATTTTTTTTGTCTTGAAATCAAAGTTTCACACAGGAGTTTGGACACAGCTCTGCATCTATAATATTAGTAATTGTGTGGATGAGTGTTTATGCAAGATATGGTGTAGACGTTAAATTCTGAATTCTTTGGAAGTATTTGAGTTTAACAAAAAATAAAAAGCCCAAACTTTGTGTTGCTTTGTGAACACGAGATTGTGATGGACCATTAAGAAGGAAAATCTAACCCTAGAAGTGACAGGGTAACTGTCTGTGAAACGCACAAACTGTCATGTAATGCACTTTCTATGAAAATGTCACAACATTTGCTTCTTCCTATTTTTGTGCCTCTGAAGCACTTCCAATGTTTCTACCGCCCTGCGATGCATTTTAATCCTACGGCTGTGTTCACATTAGGATGGGTGTAGCCACTGTGGCATCACCCATTGGCTAGTAAAGTCCTATTAAAGAAGCCTAAAGTTGTTTACGCTAATGCTTATTAATCATTGTGATTAAAAAGCCTCCTCTCTGACTCTAATATTGACCACAGTTCACAAAACAAGGTTAACATCCTTTCCAGTATGACCTTAACATTGAATTATTCTTTATACTATTTATTTTTTGTTACTCTCTCACTGATAAATTCAAAACTGCTGCAAAACAGTAGCCAGAAATGCACAAAATGAACCGATGGGACTGAACAGGCCAATCACAAGCTGTGGGTTGCGTCGATTCGATGTTTAATAGCTTTTTTTAAATGAGGGGCAGGTTTTGGTGTAGGATTCCCGCTGAAGCACAACTTGGGGATTAAGCTCAACTTTTCAGATTCTTAAGCTTTGTGCATCTTTTATATTGTCTTTGTCACATTTTAAAAGAGCACTGATGGGCTGAGCTTGGTGAGTATATGTGTGTTAAAATACTTTAAGAGGTTAGTTTCCTCAGCAGGTAACTCTATAACACTAAATTACTTTAAATTGGCATTATCCAATGATTTAAAGTCTATTCTTTTCCAGGAGAATGCCGATCGCGGCTGGAATTTATATGATCTAATCAAGCTGCAGTTCCTTCCTGACTCACGTCCTCAGAGGGGAAACACACCGTTCCCCAAAGTTTGAACTAATTAGTGTGTGCATCTATTAAAAACAAACACCTATCGGAGCCACTTCTGTTTCTTAATGGGCTACTTCTTAAACAAACAGTCCCATAACCCCGGGGCGATGCTAAAATCTTACGAGGGTATTTTTTTGTTATTTTACTTTCTCCCAAAAAGACCTCCCTTATATTTGCTTAGCCTAATGAATCTTGTTTATGCTGCGCACAGTCACAGTGCAGACTCAAGGCGTTCTGTTTTACCACAAATTCATAAAATATTCATGTTAATGTATAATTTGTGCTCACGGTCATCTCATATTAAACACCCTCAGAGTCTGTATTCTCAGTGTGTGCACTGACTGACAGAATCACGAGGCGATCAGAGGATTTTAAAGATAATTTTCAGGAAGCTTTGATGCAGGAAGTGCAGCTTTCTGTTCGCAAGAAGAAAAGGAGAAAAGAGAGGTGAAATGTGGTGGCATGAAACCGTGAGCAGAGAAGCTGGATGACTTGCAGGAGCAGGGCAGGAAATACGATGGAGAGGAGATGAAAAGAGATTGGCAGAGCATGAGAAGATGAATCAAGGTCAGAGGAAGAAGTAAGAAGAGCGAGAGGAGCGTATCAGATTGAAGGAGGGAGTCTATCCATTATACGTGACAGCAGAGAGAGGATGTGGCCTCTCTTTGCATTTGCACAAATACTGGACATTGAGGGGGAAACAGAGGGCTAGAAACTCAGCAGGCTTTTACAAATGTGTGCACTTCACCTGCCTACCTTATTTTTTAAGGGATCAAGGTGCAGTCATATCATCTGCAGCTCAAGTGTTTAAGATTTGGTCTTTCAGTTGTACATTTCAATCATGTAGATCAGCGGTCCCCAACCTCTGGGCCTCGGACCGGTACCGGTCCGTGAGTCGTTTGGTACCGGGCCGCGAGAGTTGAGGCTCAGGTGTGAAATGTATGGTTTTCAGGGTTTTTATCAGTTTTCAGCGTTATTTTGTTATCGTTTTTATCGTTTACTCGGTTTTCCTGGGTCTTTTCACTAGTTTTATTTTGTTGTATTTATCCGCGACACCTTAAAGGCCGGTCCGTGAAAATATTGTCGGGCATAAACCGGTCCGTGGCGCAAAAAAGGTTGGGGACCGCTGATGTAGATTACTTCAATTTGCATTGTTTGCACTTTGTTTACTTATCTATATGTTTATATCAAAACTATTTAATTTAAAATATAATTTTTTTTACTACACTTTTTACGATCCATCCATCCATTTTGTTCCACTTATCCAGTTCAGGGTCTTGCTGTAAGGTGACATTGCTGGCCATGACCTTTTAATATACTATGATATTTTAGGCCTTTTAAACAGCTTTAAAGAATCCCAGGACTGTATGAGTAAATGCACACGTTAGAACAGCTACCTGAAGACAGCTTATCTTTATTTTTATAAAGATAATAAGATCAGCTTATGTGAGAGCCAAAAGCTGAGACTTCAGTCTGCTCTAAAGGTTCATTCAGCTATTTTTTTTTTTCTATTCTTGAATCTGTATGATGTCAACAGATTACTAATATGGTCAAATCTGGCTGTGAGCACAGAAGCTGCACCCACGTTCTGTTTAAACTTTCTGTTTTTGAGGGGCAGCCAGTGAGAAGAAAGCGGGCCTTGAAGGGGGAGGGGTCTAAAATGCCTTGTTTTAGAGAGTCATTGAACTGGCTTGGCGTTTCGTTGGCTCTGGTAAATGAGGATTATTATTGTTGCAGAGTTTTGTATTTCAGATTTTGATTTATATTATTGTGTTTTTGGTGCATGATACTTGATATTTTGTTTTTTCTTCTGGTGTTTTTCTCTTTAGTTCCTGTCGACATGATTGTCTTGATTCCTTTCAGCTGTTTCTTATTCCTCAACTGTTTCTAATCCCTCTAATTCTCCTACATTTATATGCAGCTTACTCCTGACTTTCTTGTTGTCTGTCTGATACGCGTCTATGAAGCTTGTTTTTATTTTATTTGTTTGGGGTTTTTGCTGTCCATACCCCAAAATTTGGGGTCATTAACCTAAAACACGTAACTTTGAGTTAGTCATCTTGAATTTAGGATTAGATTAGGATTAGTCTGGGACTTAAACATACCCAATTTAACACCATTAACAGGCTGTTATACATATTGCGTTCTATATTTTCCTATTAAACAGATCTATGTTATGAATGTTCTGGATGTTTGTAGGCACAAAGATATCTCCTTCAGCCAAAACGGGTGCAAGCTGCAGTCTAATAACTACTCTTTACTGCTGTGATGTCTGACTTACTTCTTCTATACAAACTGAAGTCTATTTGAATAACGTTTATCAGGGTTAAACACGTAACGACTTATTGATTTAAAGAGGCCAGCATAGCAAATCGCTCAAGTGTAAGGAAAATGTTTACCATCACTCAAACTGTTTGTTAAGAACAAAGAGTGTGAAGAGTGAGAGCAGAGATAAATTGTACTATAGTCTGAAAACATTTCAAAGCCTCTAACACCTGACCTCATACTGTCATCGCCTTACTTTGTTGTGCATGTTAGAATGTGTGTTAGGGTACAGCTCTGGCAATGAGGAATAATAATGCGTGTGTGTGTGTGTGTGTGTGCTTGTGCAAGCATTTTAAATCAACAGAGGTTTGTCCCAAGCTTTTGCAAAGCAGCCACTGCGTCTTACTCGGCAGTACAACATGCAGCACAAAGGAAAGAAACCACTCACTCACACACATGCTGTAAACCTACATGCAACTAAACCCCCCCCCTCATCCCGCCACCCCTCACACGCATACACACTGCATGTATTCATGTGAGAAGCATGTTGCATAATTTATCATCATATCAGTTCACACAGTTCGTCACAGCCACCAAAGCAGCGTTTACTGGAGCGTAGAGTAGAGCAGGATCAAAATAAGACACCACCACACACAGAGGGAGACGGTCCATAATAGCAAAAGACAATATCTACTTCAATACAAGTCTGCATTAAAAAAAACGTTTATTTACTTTTTACAAAAACGGTCGAGCCCATTTCGAGTCGAGTAAAAGTGCAACATGCTGAAATTTAGATGATGGTGAGGATGAAGAAAGAAACGTCACAGTGTGACACAAAACAACGACAAAAAAGACACAGTGGATAATAACAACAGGTAGTGTAAACGTCCTGAACTGAAAAGAAGAGAAAACAAAACCAAAAAAAAAAAAGAACATTCAGCATGCACACAGTTCAGACAGCAACATGTTCGGACTGATGGGAAAGAAAAGAAATCAAAAGTAAAAACATGCCCCTTTTGCATTCCAAGGCCATTCTTTGAAGCTTCAGTCGCACACGGGACTCTTGTGTTTATGTTGCCCTTTCCATATTATTCACTTCTATTTAAAGAGCTGCCAATGCCTCTGAGTTCAAACGTGCTGCAGCAGAAAGTAGTCGTGTCCTTTAATGTCGACTCAGGGTCAGCTGGTTTGTGATATAAACAGTAAAAACCTCAGGCCCTGAAAGGAGGCAGAAAATCATCTACAAGTCTTTTTGATTAACTGTTCGCCAAACCCTAACCCCGAGGAGAGAGGCTGTTATCAAAAACTATTAACTGTTATTATCACCAAAAAGTATGAAAGGACCAAACTGTCGTCATAGCTTAGCATTTATATGACTTGGGGTACTCCAGACGTTTAGGCTCTAGATGTCTTTGATGTAAAACTATCTACAATCCATAGTTAAATAGTTTGGACATTATTTCCACTTAAAAATCTAAATCAAGAAAAACAAAGTGGTGAGGATTTGATTGAACCTGGTTTGCTCTACTGTAAGCTGCAAACAGTAGCATGTCTGTTAGCTTATTAGCTTAAAATTAGCTTTTAAAAAGTAGCCCTGGTTACTTTAAAAGCCAAAAACATTACATCAACCATGCATTAAACAGTTTTTTCTATTGTTTTTTTCCCCAGTGGTTTAAAGTAGTAGGATTAAACTTGGTTTTCAAAAAAAATAGCCCTTGCCTGACTCTCTCAGTTGTCTCTAACAGTCCTTTTTCTATTTGGGATGAATTTATCGCAGAAAAGTGTAAGAGCTTTATGCTAGCTTCCAACCTGCAGTATAACATAAATCTCACACAAGCACTCCATCAGGACGATAAAACCTGATGTGGCTCTAGATAGTACTTTGCTAGGGACAGCATTAGTGAAACAAGATTTGGGTTAAAACACCCCCTTGGTTGGAGTTGGGAGTGACCGCTTAATGTAACACCATAACACCTTGAATGCAACGAGCCATGCAGCAGTTTTTATCTCATCAGTTAATACTATGTACTATAATGCCAGTTCACCCTGAATGTCTGAAACATGTATACGATGCCTGGTTCTACTTCCTAATGATTTTTTATAGTATGGGACTGTCTCATTGTTGAGGATTTCAATTTAATATTTTAGGGCCTTTGCCTTGGAATATAAAGCACCTCCTCAAGGTTATACAGCTGTTGTGAATAGAAAGGTTTTATTCATTTCCAAGGAAAAAATTATAATATGTTGAGTTTGTTTTTCTGTGTCACCTTTAATGTCTTTGCATTTAAACAATCTAACATCACTGTATCTGGAGAATACCATAGTATCCAACAATCACCTAACGCCAAATCTTTAAAATAACTGCCTGATTATGTGATGACTAATTTTGTTGCAGCTCTAGCACCTGCTAAATACATATATTTTAATCTTGTTCCAAACAGAGTCAAGTGGAAGCAACACCTGGCAGTTTAACCAGTGTGTTATCTTGATTAAACTAATAACAAAAACTGAGAAAATCAAGTAGCAACAGCTGATATTTAAGCCAAAAAACCAAAGTAATGACCTAAAAACAAGCAGCGTTTTTCTGCCTTTTTTGTCTTAAACTCAGGTTCCACATCTTGCTTCTACAACTGTCAACAAACTGCAGAGGGGAAAGCTCAACATGGCACCAGCAATCAACAAGGTTGGGAATCAGCGAACAGTTGATCACAGCACAGAGCTTCTGAAAGCTTCTTTTTTTAGAATCTGCAGCTATAGCTGACAATGATTTCATGCTTCTTATGGTTTATGAAAGTGCCACACTTGGCAAGAAAGAATGAGTATAATAAAACAAAACATCTGTAGAGAAGAAGAATCAAGTTCTGTTGTTTGTTTTAAAATCTAAAATAAAGATATTATATATTTGAATGTTTACCTCTGGCCACGACTCACTTCAGTAAAAGTGCTTCTGAGGCCTGTGATTGGATAATTAATGCGCTGCTGTTAGTCGGGGCTGAAAAGGTCTCACCTCATGAATTTCTTGGGTTCGGTGGGAGGGGTCAGCGGGGCAAGAGGTTTGTTGGAGTTGAGCTCAAGGTGATGGAGGGGGGAGTTGGGGATAGGCTCTAGGCGACTGGGCGGGGTTGGGGGCGGGGGTGGTGGTTGTGGGGGCTGGCCGCTCCCTGTACCCACCAAGCCCATGCCCATACCTGCTCCCTCCAGAGCCCTGACATTAGGAGAGCTGCTCAATCTGCTGGCTGCTGTTTTCTCATTCTTTCTCTTTTGCTACACAGGAGAAAAAAAAAAGAAAAAAAAAGAAAAAGGAGGGGCACGGGGGTCAAAAAGGAGCAAAAGGGAAGTTTAAAACAAAATAATAATAAAAACTTAGGAAGTAATGAAAGGATAAAAAGGGCAAATGGAGTACAGGGAGAGCTCTGGAAGCTGTAACAGTCCAGCCAATGAGAGACAGGAAAGAGCAGCGTGCTAACTTAATAATATTCAAATGCTGATCGAAGCAGAGTGAATGGATCAGTCTGAAGACCGGCATTGCTCAGTCACAGTCTTAAAGCACCAGTCACTCTGAGCAGAATGAAAGTTCAGATGAGAAGAGATGTGTAAAAGCGGGAAACATCTCACACTAACAAATGGCTTTGAAAGCAAAGGAAGGCTGAAGAAAAGAAGACCAGTCAAATCGGGTGGCACATTTATACACACAAAGACATGATCAGAGAAAGGGTTTGCAAAGAAAACAACGCGTCACAGGTCAAAGTTGTACCTGAGATCGTGTCAACAGTTAAATCATGCAGTGGGAACCATTCAGCTCAGACACACATGACAATGAGACATTCTGTTAACCAGAAACATCTTCTGAACCTGTTTCCTGCTACGAGCTATGAAGTCCTGCATGAGAATGTCAATCTTGTTCTAAACCTTTTAATTTTCTGCTCTTTTGTACTTTTTTGCCACAAAAGGAAAAGGTCGGCACACTATTTACTTTAAAATATCAATTTAATTCTTAATGCAATGTAACAAAGAAAAGAGAGTATTAATTTCAAAGGAGCTTCTTTAGACATCGGTCAAAGAGAAAAATGAGCTGCTATTCTTATTGTAGAAGCACTAATTGATTTAAATCACCACGGCAACCACCATATGTCTGGGAGTGTTATCACATGGGACACCAAGAACAAAGAACAAAGGGCCCACAGAAAATCAGAATATTTGATCTGAAATATATTCAGTATACAGTCTGGATTAGAAAACACTAGGAGTGATTTTTGGCATCATCATAAAGATGCATTACTGAAGCAGATGTAGTACATTAAGCTGAATATTCTAAAAATGTTTTCTAAAAGGGAACGGGGATACAATTTGAGGGGGGAATTAAATTTAAAACATCCTCGTATCCGTACAACATTAAAAAGTTTTTGCATCTCTGTGTGTGGAGTGAAGCTGTGGAACAGACTAAGTAAAGATATGAAGCAATGTCCAAGCATGGCGCAGTTTAAAAAGCGGTTTAAGGATATGGTTTTTACAGGGTACAGGGAAAAGGTAGAGATTTGATAGGGTGTTCTTGTCTAATATTTTCATGTGTGTGCGGGTGCACGGGTATGTTGGTATGGGTATATATATTATATATATATATATATTTGTAGGTTGTGTATCCTTGAGGTGTTAATGGGGTTATTGAAAATGTGTATATGTGCGTATGTGAATACACTCAACAAAAATATAAACGCAACACCTTTGTTACTGCTCCCATTCCCCATGGGATGGACGTAGAGACCTAAAATTCATTCCAGATACACAATATAACCATCCCTCCCAAACAGTGGTCACAAATCAGTCCAAATGTGTGGTAGTGGGCACATCTGCTATATTGAGATAATCCATCCCACCTCACAGGTGTGCCACATCAGGATGCTGATCTGACATCATGAGTAGTGCACAGGTGTACCTCAGACTGCCCACAACAAAAGGCCACCCTGGAATGTGCAGTTTTGTCTCACAGCAAAATGCCACAGATGCCACAAGCAATGAGGGAGCGTGCAATTGGCATGCTGACAGCAGGAATGTCAACCAGATCTGTCGCCCGTGCATTGAATGTTCATTTCTCAACCATAAGCCGTCTCCACAGGCGTTTCAGAGAATATGGCAGCACATCCAACCGGCCTCACAACCGCAGACCTCGTGTAACCACACCAGCCCAGGACCTCCACATCCAGCAGGTTCACCTCCAAGATCGTCTGAGACCAGCCACCCAGACAGCTGCTGGAACAATTGGTTTGCACAACCAAACAATTTCTGCACAAACTGTCAGAAACCGTCTCAGGGACGCTCAACTGCATGCCCGTCGTCCTCATCGGGGTCTTGACCTGACTCCAGCTCGTCGCCGTAACAGACTTGTGTGGGCAAATGCTCACATTCGATGGCGTCTGGCACGTTGGAGAGGTGTGCGCTTCACGGATGAATCATGGTTCACATTGTTCAGGGCAGATGGCAGCTGAGAATGTCCCAGTTCTTGCATGGCCAGCATACTCACCGGACATGTCACCCATTGAGCATGTTCGGGATGTGCTTGACCGGCGTATACGACAGCGTGTACCAGTTCCCACGAATATCCAACAACCTCGCACAGCCATTGAAGTGGAGTGGACCAACATTCCACAGGCCACAATTGACAATCTGATAGACTCCATGCGACGATGTGTTGCACTGCATGAGGCAAATGGTGGTCACACCAGATACTGACCGGTTCTGGGTCCCCAGACCCCCAATAGCGCAAAAAAACTGCACATTCCAGGGTGGCCTTTTGTTGTGGGCAGTCTGAGGTACACCTGTGCACTACTCATGATGTCAGATCAGCATCCTGATGTGGCACACTGTGAGGTGGGATGGAATTATCTCCAATATGCAGATGTGCCCACACACACATTTGGTACTGATTTGTGACCACTGTTTGGAGGGATGGTTTGTTGTATTTCCTGGAATGAATTTAGAGTGCTCTAATCGCTCCCATCCATGGGTGAATTGACGAGCAAGTATACAAAGGTGTTGCGTTGTATATTTTGTTGAGTGTACGTCATGTATGGATTAGATAGATAACCAATATTCCTATGTGTATATATATAAACTAGAAAAAAAATATAAAATTTACACATAACATATTAATGGAGTAATTATGCAACGGAGGTATCTGTAGTCTATTGACTACTAGATAGTGGAAAGAGGTGGATTCTTCGGTTGCTGTGGCACTTTATTCAAATATAAATGCTTATGCTTCTTCCTGCTCCTTTTTGAACATGAACGTTATTTGGAGTTGTGGTTGCTCGTTTTCCTTTTGTTTTGCTTTGTTCATTTGTCTCTTTTAATTCTATTTTGTTGTACTTTTTCAACATGTTCAAAATAAAGATTCAATCAATCAATCAAACTTCAGTACAGTGCTTGAGTAAATGCACTATGCTATATTTGAACCACTGGTCCCATCCATACTTTCATCCAGTGGAGTTAATTGTATTTTTAGTGGGGCCTGTGCCACCCCATGCCCCCCCTCTGACCACACCCTTGACAACTACAAGATGGTCGTCATAAATCCAGTAAAAAGAGAAAATACGATGCCGGTGTGACAGGAAGGAAAGAAAAACCAAGTCTCTAATAAACAATTGATTTTAAGGTATTTATTGAACCTTTTTTACACAAGCTGAGGGAAAGGTCTAAATTAAATTGTTTCAATTATCAAATATTAAAATAGAAATAAATGTTATTTATATGATTTCTAAAAATGTGCCATTTAATTATCCTTATATAGTATACAGAGCTTTTCCTTTTGTTGCAATATATTGTGTAACATTGGGGGCGGGGGAGTCTGGTATCTAAATTAATGCTTGCTTTTGCTTATCTGGTTATTTCGCTAAATCAACATCCTATATACAGATTTTTTGAGAAGTGCTTTAAAGAACAGAAATGTTTGTTTTCAGCAGCTTTAAACAGATCACAAAATCAATGCTTCAGAAAAGCACCATTGTCCTTTTGGCTTTAGGTTTAAATTATCTAGTTATATAATTACATTGAGCCACAGCGACTAACAGGAAACAGCATTTATTTAATTAAAGGTAATAAGAGAAAATAATTTTATTGCAGTCAAACTTCCTGATTTTATTTGACTGCATTCATTAAAACCAAAGGCCCTTTCCTTTTGTGGTGTTTTTATGGTGCATTGAAATCTATATGAACTGTGACACTTTGGTTCAGCTGCTGCAAACAAACAAGATCTTGGTATGTAGACCTTGGACAGCCTCCCCCTCACTCCTCAGTCTGTGCTATTATCTAGAAATGAAAGAAACACCACAGTTCCTGTTCCTCATGCCGTTTCCTGTCCGTTTCTCCATCCTTGACGACCTTCATTTTACAGAAAAGAATAAATGTGATAAAATTGATTTTTTTCTCCCCTTGTCCTTCTGCTGTCTCTCATAAACTCTGAAAGTTTTACTGGAACATCGTGATCCTTTCTTTGCTGTAAAACAACTTCATGTCTTGCTCTGTAAACTTTGCTAAAGGACGACGGTCACCTCAAAAATGGTGTAATTCTTAACAGGTATTACTTAAAATGATTTACTGTGGTACCTTTTTAAAACCTCAGCACTGATGGTGTTGGTTGATCAGCACGGATGTACATGAAATGACTTGGAGTGGATATCATCTTTGCTATGTAGTAAAATAATGGAGCAGGCTTATCAGAGTGCCCCTGTGTGTGGCGTGTTACAGGATATTAGGGCCTACCTTAATGAGCGGGTTGATAACTCCCACATTAGGACTGGCGGTGAACACTTTGTTGAAGTTGGTCTCCCTGTTGACGAGTTCCAGCTGGTAGAACTTTTTATCGTCCTGGAGGAGAAAATCGTGTTAGCTGACAGCCAGTTAGGCTGCGGAGGACTCAGGGGAGTGTAGAGTGACTGAAAATCACACATTTAATGAGCTCTGTCTGGCAACATTTCCGAGTGGCACACAAACTTGACACTACAGTTTCATGTCTTTGTGAAAACTGCTTAAAAACAGCAATTCTCACAACCAAACTCTTCTGCCCATCAGAATTTTGCACCTGTGAGGTACCTTTTATGCACTTTAGCATAAACTTTTCACCTCCCAAGCGCTCCAAACTGTCAGAGACAACTCCACAGCTGACTCAGACAGCAATAGTGCCTCAGCATGAAAAATGTAACCTGATTAATAAAAATCACCACCTCAGTACCACTGAGTGTCAGACAAAAACAATGAATCTCACAATGTTAATGAACTGAAGTAGATTAGGTCTCAAACTGTCCGAAAGAGAGAAACTAAGCCTGACAATGGTGCTGAAAATTGTGATGCAGCGTTTAAATGAAGACTAATTCCAACATATTTCTGAGGGTAGCAGTTCTGAATGCCAACATGTGAATATATTTAGCATGTTTCCAAGTTTGGAAAAGTTGAAATCTTTTATTTTATTTTTAAACATTTAAATTGTCACATGAGGTTTCGGACTCTTCTTGAGAAACAACTTTGTGGTGTTCCTCAGGATTCTGTCTTGGGTCCTGCACTATTCTAATTAGCACCTTCTCTTTAAGTCAAATATTTACCGACTGTTCATTTTATGAAGGACTCCTCACCCATACATTATTTTTAACATGTCAAACTCTGTGAGTAATGAGTTATTAAGCTGTATGTGTGTGTATGACTAGTCGAATACATGTTGCTGCCCTCGACAGTCATGAGTGCAAATACTGCTTGATTAAACTACTTACTCATAATTAATTTCATATTCAAAGGCAATTAACTGTTAGATTTTATAAGATGTTAAACACCCAGCCACAGTCACTACATGGTATAACTACTCGACCACAGCAAAATGTACCCAGATTCTGCACAGGCATGTCAACGGTAACCTGCAAGACGCTGGTGTTAGCACTGCTAATGTTAGCCACCCTTTACTAAATTAATCTGACGCTGTGTGTCTGAACTACTGACTGAAAAGGTCAAAGCTAAGTGTGAAACCATTTAGAATTGGACGAACCAAGTGCTTTTTTTATTGATTGTAAGACAAGTTCTTTGCTAAATGCTTGCTTTCAATTCTCCTCACACTCTGGCTTGTTTTTCTCTTTTGGTGTTCTCTTGGTTCTTTGATGAGGCTCATTAGCTAGCCTGTGGCCAGAAGTGACAGACAGATGATTAGTGCAATGGACGTCATTTAATTATTATTTAAAATGCGCTGGCCGTTTCCAAACAGCTTCAAAAGATGACTTCAAAGCTGGTTCTGTAGTAAAACCATGTGGTGTTTCACTTTAGTCTCGAATATAAGATAAAATATAGTAATATAGTATAAAAACGAGTATAAAATCAGTGTTGTTAGAAAAGTAACTTGTGAAAATCAGCACAACCTGAGCGATTTTTAATTGTACAGCAAACATTTTTTTTTGTTGGGTTTATTCAAATGTTTAGCCTAGAGTTTTCAGGAGAGTTAAACATATATTTTGTGGGTCTGGACAACACTATCCATGCTTTCTCTATAAATCAGATAAGATCTGGAAAGCATTACTCATCATTTTTGTTCAGTGTGCAAACAAATAAGGGAGGATGCATTTTCCTCTTCATGTTTATAGCTATAGCTTCTTATGGTTGGGACTTTACCTCAATACCTACCACCAGTTTTTTGACTAGAGTTTCTCTCTCAGAAACCATATCTTTGAGCTCGGCGATGAGCTGCAGATCCTCAGGACGACTCTCTCTGTTCCTGAACTTATCCTCTGTTCCTTCCAACCTGTGAGATAAAGAAAAAAAAAAAGACATAAGACCATAAATATCCTCCCACAGTCTAGGCTAAAACAAAATTATACATATCTAAAAATCAAGCAACACGTCAATGCACAGTTTGATCCAACAAACTGTGTGAGTTTCTTCCACATATTAAATATGTGACATCAAACATTAGCAGGGAAAGATTCAAAGCAGGAACATTTGATCTGGCACTTTATAGTGTATGTTTACAAGATGGAAGCATTTAAGAGTTGAGAAAATTAAAAGTGTGTATCAAAAGGCGATTTCCTTTTTCATTACACTTTAATCAATAAAACAGTAATTGTCCTTCCTTTCTTCCCCGCCCTCGCCTCTTCTCATCACAAAAACCATTATGTCAGCAGCTGTGCAGTCCCTGTGGAGAATGTTTTGATTCTGTAACTTAGGAGAACTTTCAAAAACGTTATAATGGATTTATTTTCACACTGGCCTTTAGAGAAATCAACACATTGTGTAAAAGCTCTGATTAATTTAACGTCTGGTGACGTTTTCCCTTCTGCACGCAAGTAAGCGAGTGACTCAAGCAAGCAGTCATATGTTGTACTGTTGGCTTAAATTAGTTATTTTTTTAAGCTGTGATAAACTAAAATTTTATTTTGTGCACAAAACTCAAGTAAACATAAAAGAAACATGCCGTGATACAAGTCATTATGCCAGTCTCATAATTAAACAGCGATGCACTCAGTTGCAGTTACTGTGTACTGGGTTGCTAATAAATCAAAGTATTTTCAGAATATGTTTTTTTTTCTGGTCACAAGAATTATGACATGACACTAGGGCTGCTCGATTATGGCAAAAATGATAATCACGATTATTTTCACTGAAATTGAGATCTTGATTATTTGACGATATTTAACAATAACAATGTATTGAATAATGACTTTAAAGATTGTCAAAAAATAATATAAAATAGTGTGCAAATACTGATAACAGTGCAAATGTTTGCAATATAAAAAATAAATGAAAAATGTAAACATCTATGTTTAGTGAACTTTGCAGTGTTGCTCTGTGGTGCAGCTACAACACTGTAGCAAAGTTTACACACGTCTGACTCCGCGAACCCATAATGTTTCCACACCACTGAAGTTTTTTTTTTACCTCTCTTTTCAACCAACAGCAGTCACTCTCCTCTCCAAATAACTTCTGCTTAGCTTTCCGAGCTTCCCTCTGGTAATTGTTGTGACACGTGCTCGAAATGCAGAGAGGTGCGCTCGATTTGCCACACGGAGCAGCGCGAGAGTAAAGCACGAGGGAGGGGCTAATAGTCGGCTCAGTCATTTTTAATGATCGTTGAAAACCCAGATCGTAATCGAGATTAAAATTCGATTAATTGAGCAGCCCTACATGACACCCTCATAAATTTAAATTAGGAAAGAAAGAAAAAAGAACTTAAGCAAAAGAAACAATAACAGGAAAATGAAACCATCAAAGCTCAGTTACAGAAACTTTTATGTGAGGCGTTTTAGGAAATGAAAACAGGTCTTTTTGATCAAACACGACTTCTTTTCATGTTTAGCTGCAAGCATGTTTCTAGTTTTGGTAATACTTTTTATTATTATTTGACAGTGAACTTAAAAACTTGTTACACTAACACAGTACAAATTTCCCTGGATTTTTCTCCTGTATCTTGTTTATAGTTCTTAAAATTTTGTATTTCAGATTATTTTTTAGGGTCTTTAGTCTTTTTTTTTTATTGTGTTTACATGCTGAGTACCAAATATACTTAATTGGTTTTAGACTCCCCCATGTCCTTTTCTTTCTTGTTAAGTCTACATCTCTGTCCCCCCCGTGCGCTACCTCCAGTTTCATTTTAGTACTCTGTTGTCTCTTGTTTTTTGTCTTTTATTTTCGTTGTTTATTGTTCTTGATCAGTTTCAGCAGTCCTTGTTTCCCAGGTGTTTTCCCTCCTCCTAATTGCCTCTTTTCTATACAGTCAGTGGCGTCTTCCCATTGTTTATAGTTCTTAAATTAGTCTTTGTCCCAGCGTCTGTCTTATACCCTCATATATTCAGACTCAGGTCTGTTGTGTTGTGGCTTTTGCATTTTGGACTGTTTCAAGAACCTCATGAGGTGTCTTCTGAGTTAACTCAGGTTATGAGTCTCTTCAGTCCATTTTTCATAACATGATTTTTTTCATTTTAGTAAGCTTCACATTTTATATATTGATGGGTTGGAGGAAAATAAATCAAGCACCCATCTTTTAAGAGCTAAATTTGAGCTTTTAAGTATTTAACATAACAAAAAAATAAAAAAATAAAATGGCAGTAGTGACTGCTTTCTTTAGGCCAGCTTCTCTTCTAGATAAATTGCAGTCACTCCAAAGAAAATCTGGCATTGGAGTGGAACAGCCAGTGGAGCTCATCCAAGTGATGCTGATAAAAGCTGATCTGCACTTTCGTCAGATATTAGCTCTGCTGTTGTGCTGGTACTTTTGAGTTTATCAGACAGGCGATTCATCATTTTTTTTCCTGTTTGCCAAACATTTTCTGCTGCTCAAGTAGGAGAATATCTACAGTATGAACCAAACTAAATTCTGGTTGCTGCTTTGTATTGTTCAAGTGCTTAGTGCAATAATCACTTTAGGGATCTAGAGTAAATTCTGAACACGAAAGTAAAAATATGAAGGAAAGGAGCTTGAGGCTGTTGCAGTCTTTGTGTTTTGAAACTGGATGCTACGAGCAAGGGGCAGAGAAAGGACATAACCTCACCCTACAGCACACCCATTATCTTCTTTTTTTGGCTTCAATAGCAATTATCATTTAAAAAATTAAAGTCAAGTTGTATTCAATGAGATATGAAACGTGCTTTGCTTTAGCTAATTAACAACGTCTTTAGAGATATGTGGGCCTCATAGGGTCACGTCTATGCTCGCCTTTTTCTATTTTGTTAGGCAAAATATAGCTGATGTTATTGTGCTAATCTTTATTTAAGAAAAATTCAAGTTGGATCCTTTTTTACTGTTAATAACTGATTATCTATCTATCTATCTATCTATCTATATATATATATATATATATATACACATATCTGTGTTCAAGCAGACTGAGTTGGTACTAAAACAGCTCTTCCTCTGAGCAGGAGCACACTGAGGCCAAGTGTTTAGTGACCAGCTATTTTGTGCCTGAGTACCACAGCATCAGCAACCCTTCGCTGAGCAGAAGGACCCTCAGTCACACCCACAGGAAAAGCAAGGGAGCGCTGTGCCACCAGTGGCATTTATCTCATTTTCAGATTTGTTTCAGATCACACGGACAGACGGTTTCCAGCTTACGGACAAACACACACACACAAAACATCATGACAACCTGCAGGGAGAAAATCCGCTGCATGGTTAAGCTGATAAGAGACGCTGGACAGCCACGACTGCTCCAATATGTCACCAGCAAACCTGCAACACTGTGTTCATGTGGATTTTCTGGAGGTGCTTCATCTTCTTGGTGAAGGTGAAGTCTGTGATAAGATGATGACTTAGAATCTCTCAGCAAGAGTCTGAGGTTTCAGGATTTCAAATGTCCCAAAAACAGAAATGAGAAATGGTCAGGAGGGTTTCTGTTATCTTTGCCACCTTCTTATCATGTCTTGACCTTTTCTCTCATAGCCGCTGTTGACACACCACATTCATGCTACTCACACCACATCAGCAGCTGAACGAACAAATGCATGACCCACTCATGTTGTTGCACTGGTCCATGTGCACAGTGTTAACTCTGAATAGTTTCAGCTGTGTGTTTGCAGACACAAACTACTCATTAAGTGAACATTTTTCCCTAGTTGGTTTAAACTTTGTAAGTACAATAATATACACCAAGACATACAAATACAAAAATGTCGTGAGAAAAATGAATGAGAAACTGAAGAGTCATTTCGAAAACTCACTGTGCATTTATGATAGAATATGGAGATATAAAGAAGCACTCATCAAAGAAAACATTAAAAATAGAAAAGAAGGCTAAAAGAGAAATGAAGGAAAGATCCAAAAGGTCACATTAAGCAGCTTTCTTACTGTATGCTTGATATTTTCTCTATAAAGACTTTATAGGAGGCAGAGTTTTATCTACGGCAGCCAGAGACAGCTTGATCTTTAAAGGAGCAGTTTGATTTGTTTGGTCGTGCAGCAACAAAATTTGTTTTCTCTTTGAGAAGAAATTGGTGTTTTGAGACTTGCAGGGGGTTTTCTGCAGGATCCTTGGAGTCCTTTTCAATATTGCATTGCTAATGTTGCAGAAAGCAAAACCTCTGTGATATTTACATACAGTTTAATATGTGTTAATTTGAGAACTGGTGTTGAAGTGTTAGACAGTAATTATGCTTATGGTGCCGCTATCATGGTTCTGGACTCTTTTGGTCTCATTTTTATTTAGTAATCTTTTCTTTCTTTCTTTTTTTTTAATACACTACCTGTGTTTATTTAACAAGTCAGTCCCCAGTATATACAGTATGTGGACAAAAGTGCAGGGCCACTTACATATTACATCTACAGGATCTGCTCATCCATGGAAACCATGCCATGAAGCTCCTGGCATACAGTTTTTATGCTGATGTTAATCCCAGAGAAGATTTGGAGCGCTGCAGTGTTTGAGTCAGCAGAGTGTTGGCAACTTTTACACATTATGCATCTCAGCAGATAACACTCTGTAACTTTACATAGTCTTTGCAATACTACTACTTTGGACCTAAGTTTTGGACTAAAGATCTAGATTGTACTCTTCTTCCTGGTGTCTTGGAATTGAGTCCCCTCCCTTTGTGAATTTTTCCAGTCATGATGTACGGCCTCAGCTGGAAGGCTGCTAATACGACTGCAGACATGACTACAAACTGAAAAATCCTAACTTCATAAAAACAAAAACCCCGCAGGCGAGCTTTTAAACTCCCAGAGGACCGAGCAACAAGGCGCACAGGCAGAGAGCAAAACACTGAAATATTCATGAAATCTAAACAGTGCAGCAATTTCAGGGGATATTTAGA